TTTACTTATTTACTTATTTACTTATTTACTTATTTACTTATTTATTTATTTATTCATTTATTTATTTACTTATTTACTTATTTACTTATTTACTTATTTTCTTATTTTCTTACTTGTTGCTTACTTGTTGCTTACTTATTTGCTTGGTTACTTACTTACTTACTTACTTACTTACTTACTTACTTACTTATTTGTTTATTTATTTTCTTACTTATTTATTTGCTTATTTGCTTACTTGTTGCTTGCTTATTTACTTGCTTATTCGTTTACTTACTTACTTGCCTACTTACTTTTTTACTTACTTATTTACTTATTTACTTACTTACTTACTTGCTTACTTACTTACTTACTCCCCCCCTCCCCCCCTCGCTCGCTTAGCATACACAGTAGACGAGTACCGGTACGGTACGGTACTGTACAAGCAGGTCATGCACGACTGGGCATATGCAAGTGACGAGATAAGTATAGTACAGTACGGTATAAGATACGAGATGTGTTATGCAATGCAATGTAATACGATGCGATGCAATGCGATGCAATGCGATGCAATGCAATGTAAGGTTAAGTTAGGTATATATGTACTTATATATATATATATGTATATGTATATGTATATACGTATGTGTATATATGTATATGTGTGTGTATATATACGTGTGTGTGCGTATATATGTATATATGTGTATGTATATCTATATATATATCTATTCCCCAACGCAGCAGCGTCAGCTAGAGTACCTCCCGACAAGACGAGACGAGCAAGACAAGCAAGACAAGCAAGACAAGCAAGACAAGCAAGACAAGCAAGACAAGCAAGACAAGCAAGACAAGCAAGACAAGCAAGACAAGCAAGACAAGCAAGACAAGCAAGACAAGCAAGACAAGCAAGACACTCCATGTCCAAGGATTCGCTAACGTATATGAATCAAGTAATCGATTAACAGACTGACGGATAGACGGACAGAGAGATAGAGAGATAGGCAGGTAGGCAGGTAGGCAGACAAAGAAACATCCTCTCTCCCCCATCAGCGACAGCAGAAAAGGTTAGAAGCTAGCTACCTTAGCCACAGTAAGCTTGCTGTATAGAAAATCGGTGCTTCTCGGGTAGGTCGTTGCGACGTGGGAGGGTAGGGAGGGTAAAGAGGTAAGGCGCTGAGATGGAATTATGTGTGTGTGTATGTGTCTGTGTATATGTATGTAGAGGTATGTATGTATGTAAAGGTATGTATGTGTATCAGGGTGTAGATATCTAAGTGTAGATATAGATGCAAAGAGTAACATAGATAATAGATAATAAGTAATAAGTAATAAGTAATAAGTAATAAGTAATAGGTCACAAGTCACAAGTCACAAATGATAAAAAGAGAAAGAATAGAACACGAGCGATATGCCACCGAGCGGGATTCTCCGTTTTCTCTTCCTGACTCTTCGTGCGAAGCTGGTGTGGTGACGGACGGACTGTTGACGGACTGACGATCAGGGCAAGTGGGCTGGAGGGGGAGGGGGTGCGGGTGGGTGGTGGGTAGCTGGGTAGCTGGGTACCTAGGTAGCTGGGTAAGGTGGGTTGTTTACACGGGTTAGTCAGCAGCTCTGCTACCCATCTCCTCCCATCTCCTCCCTCCGGTGACGGTGACGGTGACGAAGAGGTGGGCTGGCTAGCTGGCTAGCTGGTGGGTGGATCACGTGAACCGCTCTCCCCGGCGCGACATCTCAGATCTAGGTCGGTACCGGTACCGGTACCGGTACCTAGTCGAGTCGAGTCGAGATCTTGGGAATGAACGCTTTAGAAAGGAAATTTTT